CGTGAGAGGTCACCACTCCAAAATTCAGAAAACGAATAATAATAAAAAAGAAAAACAAGACAATAAAGGGTAGGGTTAACTTTAACTGCAAACATACCTGCGAAGAAATATCATGTAAGCGTTAAAGTTTTCGTGGTAGGTAGACCGTATAAGATTTCGAAGGTCAGGATATGTGTAAGAAGGAAAGAGGGAAGATAAAGTGTTGGGAAAATTTTTTTTGTTTGTATTATGCTTTTATCTTGTTGATCATGTGACTGCCCAACTGATCGACCAGATAATGGTAGCATTATACAGTATCATTAAGAAGATCGTCTGATATTAATTATCTACTTTAAATAATAATGATAATAAATAAATAATAAACACTTTTTTTTTAAGACAAACATGATTAAAACCAATTTTATTATTACAAAAGATAATAATTTTAATTATTTGAAAATTATTAATGATTTGTTTTAATCTGATTTGATTTTACAACTTTTAATTATCATTAATCTCCTATTATATATTGTTTATTATAATAATTAATTATTGATAATTTTAATAAACAACAAAACAATCATGAAATAAATTATAATTATATTGTTACTGTTATATTAAAATTATTTTTTTTATAATAAGTTACTTTTTAAATATAATTTTTTTTTATAAATATACAATAAAATATCGTATTATTATGGACATTTTTATCATTTAATTGTTTAAATAATACTGTATATTGTAAATAAAATAATATACAAATGATTAATATATATTTTTTTAAAAAAATAGTTAAATCTATTTTATATTTAATTTAAAAAATAGTCTAATATAGATATATTATAAAATAAAGTAAAATAGTATAAAATTTATTAGTCATATAAAATTTTGTATAATTGTTTTATTTATTAAGCTTAAATTTTTTTGTTTTTTAAAATGTTAATAATAAATATCATTTGAATTTCTTTATAAAAATATTTTTTCTATTATTAAAATTAATAACTAGATAATATATTAATAAAAATTTTATATAGTTTCATAAAAAATAAATAGCTAGTTAATATAAAAATGCAAAATAATATTATTTCAAATAATAGAACAATTATTTAATATAATTTTAATTTTTTAATTTATATATTGTAAAAAAATTTAAAAAATTAAGTGATATGGATATATAATGTTCTTATTCAATTAGAATCTAATTTAAACTTGAAAAAATTTTGAAATTTTTCTTAAATATAAAAAAGAAAAATATATTAGAAAAAAACAAATAATAATAAAGATGTTTTTAGTAAAACCAAATTCAATATTCAATACTTTCATTTATTTTATATCATAATTCGTATATTTTCATTCAATATTATATAATCAATAATCGAAATATAATAAAAAAGTTGTTAATTACAATTACTGCAATAATATAAAAGTTTAAATAGCAAGTCTATTATTATATTATAATTGTTAATTATATAATATTAAATAAAGATATTGGATATAAAATAATATAAATAAAAATATTAAATAATAAGCTAAATGTTTTTTTAAAAATATATACTATATATATATTATTATTATTTTAAAAAAAAAAATTGTAAATAAGCACTAAATGCAAGACTTTTATTAAATAAGAATTTATTATAGCCATTACATTAAAAATCTTTATATGAATTATAAATTAATCCTAACCTATTGCAACCTTTCCTGTTAACACTTTAAAGTGACCTGTGAATCCATAACACAGTAGTTAGTATTTTAAAGGTCAAATCACAAGATACTTATTTAACTCCATATAAGGACAGTTGAATAAAATTAATATCTCTTAAATTGTAATGCAAGCAAATTTACCTACATATTTAAAATTTTAATAAGTTTTTTTAAAAAAAATTAAAATTTTATTAGTTGTGTATGATAATGAGGATATGGAAGGTATGGTTGAAAGGGTCTTAAGTTACATTGCTTGGTTGTTGGAGGCACAGAAGTCGTTGAAAGTTTCACATGATGGAGAGCAATCAAGGGCATTAAAAAAGCATATGTCATCGAGTAATCTCACAGAAGAGACAGGTTAGATCAGACGAAAAAAATCATATGTATCTCTAGTCACGTCTCGTTTACACTTTATTCATAGTAAAGAAATCATTTTTTATTCGGTTAAAATGTGACGATCACGTGATGATAATGTAACTCGACCATAACTGCTCAGTCACAGTCTCAAAGTTTGATACTTTTTTAATATGTAGTATTGTAAGACATGATGCTTAATAAAGTAACGTGAACTACTGCACCATTTATTCGAAATACTGTACTGTATTAATGCTCGATCTGCATGCGGTGTTATGCTAGAAAGTAATTTATCAATCGAGTGCACTTGACATAATTCTATAAAAAACACTAAAGCTTTACTCTGTTCTATGCCGTTTACGAGCATGCTCATTTGTACAATGTTTCGTGAAAGTGTAACTATCAGAGAAAGTTGCGTCACATTCGGGGCAATCAATTTGCAATTCTTCATTCTCTGATGATGTTTCGGAAGATTCCTGTGATCAAAAAACATGAGTGGTAAAATATTGCTACATAGAAGTAATGGCGGTAACGCACCTGTGAAATTGCTTCCTCAATCATCCGCACCTCCAATGTGAATCTCGGCAAAACATCACCACCCTCTACATCTTCCCATACGCGCTCGCGACGATAAACATTGCCATGTTGATTCCGCTTGTATACCCAGATTCTTCTATTTATGGGATCAATCAACCAGCCGAGTTGTACAGATGTTCCAACTGCAAAGTATTTGCGTTTAAATTTGTCATCTAAATCTTCGAACGCCGAATGTGGGAGTGAATGGTCGACCCTGGAAAGTCCAACGTTGTAATTCAGTCAATTGGCGAAATACCGATTTTGGTATGAAGGAGACATCAGGAGCTCCGATCGTTCTTCGGCCTTCAACACTGAAGTTAAACCCTCCTTGTGATGTTGTTATGAGCCCGTTCTGTCTAGTTTGAATGTTCCAATTACCAAGCTGTCTGACAATCTCTGCAACAGTGGCCTCCATGCACACAGTGGCCTGTGGCATTGGAAAAAGCTTTCCGTTTTTGTCGAGGTCAAATAAATTGACTGGTTGCCCGTTGACTTCTAAGGAGCGTGTTTTGAGCTGTTCGTTAATTAACTCGAACTCTTCAAATGAGTAGGTACGACTGAAATCCAAGTTAGCAAGATCCATTTGTGCTTTGGGCATTTTCGTAGCAGAGTTTTAGTTGCTATTTTCGGCCGCAGAGGGGTACTCTTTATGCACTACTCGTGTGGCATCCTTACGGCACTTGTGCGTCATCTGTGCTGGTGCGCTTACAATGATTTCAAGTGAAATTTCCTAATTATGGAAATCCCTTACATTAATACCGATACTGACTACTACATCACGTGTTTAATATAGTCTAGAAATGATACAATTTAGATGTTTATTTACATTATTCAAATTGAGCTACTTCAGAGTTGCAATCAATTTACCTATTCACTATATTCCCAAAATAAAAAGAAAGTATTCATTGAATATTTACCATTAAAATCTAAGGCACCAAATTATAAACAGAACCAACTATTTTTAGATCGTAGTCAACTCTCTGAATTCAAGATCAAATTCCCTGTTGCATGTAACAAACTATTTGTATTACATTTAATTAAATCAGAAATGTTGATCATATTAACGTGATTATACATGTATTTAGCTTACAAACATTCGTTTTTTATGGTACCTGTAGCATGTTACCTCACAAAACAAAAATAAAGAGAAGTAAATAACAAACAATTTATTATTTTTAAATTTTATCTAATAAAATAATTACAATTTTTATTTCTTTCCAATTTTTGGTTTCCAGCTTTCAAATTTCCATATACCAAAAACAAATTCTAAAAATCTACTTAAACAATATAAATTACTTGTAAGAGTACTTGCACAGGTAATGCACAAGTGCTATAAGGATGTTGCATAAGTGACACATAAAGAATACCACTGACCATGCTTCACTGGAGTACATCAAATCACAAATAATATTATCAAAGAGGCAAGCATACTGGCTGAAGGTTTTACAATCAAACAATTTTAAAGTCAAATATTATTTGGGCAAAACAAATGTTATCACTGATACATTTTCAAGGATTTCATCTATTAACAATATTATTACCATTAGCATTTCTACTGACCTGAAGAATTTGAAAAGATTATATATCAAGAATAAGTATTTTGCATTAATCTTGAATGTTTTCAAGAATTCTGAATTACATTATAAAAAATAATAAATTAGGATAAAGCATTATAAAAAAAAAACCAACTGGATATATTTCAAGAAAGAACAACAATTAACAATATTAAAAAAAAACAAACTTTATACACAACTTTTACAAAAACACCATTATATCAAAATTTCTAAGCATCTGAGAGTTGACAAAACCTATAAAACATTGAAAAGGCACTACTATTGAGCAAAAATAAATTATAATATTTACAAATTTGTGACAAGCTATAAGTCTTGTCAAAGGAACAATGGATTTAATTAACAATTTGCTAAGTTTCTATAACTATTAAAGATATCTCAAAGAAAATAAAACTAATTCTTATGGATTTTATTATACAATTATTCACAATGTATTGTCATATATTGTTTCTATCTTAAAAGAAAGATAAAGACAAAGAATTAGTAGTGGGAAGATATTTTAAATAAAAGAGACCAATGTGATATGCTAAAGTTTTTAGAAGTATACAAATTAGTACAATTCAAAAGTATATGAGATCAGACAAAAGAGGAAATGGTGATTTGTTTTGTAAAGATCAATTTATTTATTCAATAAAATAAAAGTTCAAGCTTGTCAATTCCTAGACAAAATTAAATACTTTATATACATATTTGAGTTATATTATTTTTCCACATAATAATTATGAGTTATAGAGAATAATAGAGATATAAAAGAAATATTATATTTATCAGAACAGTTATTTGTATGTTTTAGTATAGAAACAAATGCTCTAGTAAAGATAAAAGAATAAAGATAAATAAGTAAAATAAGAAATATTCTAGAGTAACAATAGTACAAAAAGCATAGTATTAAACAATAACAAGAATATTAATACAAGAATTATTCTAGAATAAGCAGTATTTCAAGATAAATACTAATAAAAATCAGATAAGAATTAATGAAAATCTTGGCCAAAAATTAAGTATAACAATATATCTCTTAAATCATAGGACATTTTTTTTATACCATTTATAATTTTTTAATTAAAAAGTTACTTTTCATTTATTTTTTTAAATCATTAAAATATTTTTTTAAAAATATATATAATATTAGTTTTAATTATATATTATCTATTATTAGTTGAAATCTAATTATTTGGCAGTATGTCACTCATTAATCATTTGACATACAATAAATAATTCATTAAGTATTCATCAAATATTCATTAACAATTTAGCAATTATTGCCAAATTAAAATATGTCAAATTATTGCTAAATATTTGATAAATGCTTGACAAATTATTTATTATATGCCAAATAATCAGTGAATAACATATTACTGAATAATTGGATTTTACTAGTGTATTTATAATATTTATTTTTTATTTAATTAATAAAAATTTAGAGTTTAATTATAAGCAAAAATTTTAATATTTAAAAAAATTTTTTTAATAAAAGTTGATTTTAGACAAACTTAAAAAATTTTTAAATTAAAGTTCATATATTTATAATAAGTTTTGTAAAATTACTTGCAAAGAATAACTTTAATTATTACAATTTTAATGGTTTAATTATAAAAATTTTAACTTGTATTAGAAGCAAAGTAATTTTTTTACTTTAAATATATATTAAATTTTATATAATTTTTTATATTAAAATTTTAAACACAAAGTTTAAAGTTATTTATTTTGTAATTTTTTAATAAAAGTTTAATTTTTACTTAATAAAGTTAATAAAGAATATCTTAAACTATATTTTATAATATAAGTAAGTTATAAAAATTAATATTTAAAATTTTAAATATGCAAGCAAATTTGCCTATTGTTGGGGTTATAATGGCAAGTCTGTCGCTACATTGCGATCACCAATCGTGTAACGTTGAAAGAGGCGTGGAGATGTGGCACAAGGTAAGTGAAAATTTTAGATAATAGTCTGAGTTTTATAGTAAAAGGATGGTATTTTATTGTTACTTTTTCTCTAGTACATTCATCTCTTTATATACATGTTAAGAAATTCCAAAAATCCCAAAAATCCCTCAAGCCCCAATTAAACTCCAATTGGGCAAGGATGACATATATTGAATCTATCTAATTTTTCGGTTCCTCTTATACTGTGTTACAATTTAAGAAATATATATTGTTTTGTTTATTAATTATTTATAAAATTTAAAATTTAAAAATTTTTAAAAATTTTTGTAACAAATTATAAAATAAAATATATTTAAATTTTAAATAAAACAATTATATAAAATTTTATAAAAATTAATAAATTTATAATTTAATATTATTTTATTTTATTTTTTATTTTTATTTTTTAAAGATTTGTATAAAATTTGCTTTATTAAATTTATTAGATAGTACATACAATCCCTTCCAATAAATAAAAAACCATTAAAAAATTATTATAATTAAACAAAAATAGTTATCATATATTAAACATTTTATTTTATTACTAAAAACAACTTTTAAATATTAAATGAACTTGTTTCTTATAATGAATTCTATATATAGTTAAATTTTATTAAATATAAACAAACTTTTATTATTATATTTACTGATTTTTTAATTTTTTTGTTAAATTTTAACATCTATATGATTTTTATAATCACTATTTTAACAAGTAATTTAATATTAATAAATTTTGTTTGACATATTGTCATATATCATTTCTACCTCAGGAGAAAGATAAAAACAGAGAACTAGTAGCAGGAAGGTACTTTAGATAGACAGGACCAATGTGGTGTGCTAAAGTTCCTAGAGGCATACAAATTAGTACAATTCTGAGGTGTATGAGATCAGGTGAAAGAGACAATGGTAATTTGGTTAGTAAAGATCAAGTTATTTATTCGATAAAATATATGTTCAAGCCTGTCAATTCCTAGGTAAAATTGAAGCCTTTATATACATGTTTTAGTTATAATATTTCGTACAGGATAAATATATGCTATGATAAAAATATAAACTAAGATATAGATACTATTCTTGTCAGAATATTCAACTGTGTTAGCATTTACATAGATAAATACTTTGGCAAAGATAATATAGAAAGTAAAGATAAA